GAAAAGAGAAAAAATGTGTAGCCTTTGTCATTGTCTTTCTTTTTCGTACTTTTATACGTGGTAGAGCCACGCTGCAGTTATAATATGGTTGTTTTACGAACGGGACAGCTCGACCGGGGAAGGACCACGCTCTCACAGAATACCAGCGTAAAATAATAGCTTAATGTTGTTGTGTTTCGTATGGTGACTGTAGAGAACCGGAGACCCGTTTTACTGGAATCAAGGCATTCCAACTTAGTCAGAGGTGACAACGCATCTGCATTTTGATTCTTTATCGAGCTTAAAGGTAGATGTCTATGGGCCACAGCATCCACTTACTATCAGGTGTACTGTGTGCTTGTTTGTCACCGTTATTATATAAAAAAAACTTTCACAATTAAAACGACTCTAGCAACAGCCTATATGCTAAAATCCATCAAGCCAGTCAAGCTACAGAGCTTGCCAAAAAATTAGATATAGCACATACTTAGATATTAGATACATACATAGATATACTCTCGAAAAACATTCCCTCGTTCTATAGGAGTTGGGTAAAAAACGATATCAAACCTCTATCAACCGAAACCGCTAATTTGCATTATCATACGAAATAAAGAAACAAAACGAAGTACGCGTAGTTTTTTTACGATTACTATCAGGATACACGGACGGACCACCGTTGGTAATGGCCGGTTGCCGCCCAAATAGAGTCATTATCGCGATTTGACAGCAATAGTAAAGGCATTGCTCACCAAATATATAATTATAGCCAAGATTAAGACTATTTTAGACGCTCGTGTTATAAAGATGTTATTTAGGTGTCGAGTTTGTTGCAATCATTCAGTCTTGTCTGGGGAAAAAAAGAACAGCGTTTTTATGATTTATGTCACTCCGTGAGCACGATTCACGTGAACTGGCTGTTGGAAAGCACATTAGCCTTTACTCCTCGACGTTTGCAGAACTATTATTGGGTACAACGTGGACTAGAATTAAACCCTTCTCCGTTACCGTTGCAGCGTATTAAAGTTCATTTCTGAATAGGCCTCCCCAAAGATTACCTCATAGGGGGGATTTCTGCCATAGTTGCCAGGCTTGGCAAACTGATTAGCAACCGTTATTTTTTATTTTTAGTCATAATTAGAAAGATGCTGATGCCCATTTCCAGATATGTTTCCCTCTATCGCCTCTTACGATACCCACGGTATGATATAGGGCACTACTACCCCGTAGATATTCTCACGCCACCACTACACGGTAATCCCTTCGTACTTCATCCTATTAATGATTATCCTATGTCGAGGGGCTACGTGCACATTTTACAAATTGATCAGTATGTTATTATCACGGGCTTTAAATGAATAGTTATTGAGAAAGATGTTAAAATTATTTGCAAGTGACATTAGATAAGTCAACTTTTTTATTCAAGGCTAATCGAATTTGAAACAAACCGAGGACAATAATTTATACTTAAAAAATAATTACATAACATAACATTTTTTTTCTTAATTCCTCAATCTCTTTGGTCGTCAAATAGCAATGTATGCACTGTATGAAGAGCCAGTATAATAACAGCCTGCGAAGTATTCCATCTTATTTTTCAGAGATGAGAACAAACCTATAGGCTACTTTGTTTGAAATTGGCTGCAGATGTTCATGGACTGTAATAGTCCATCAGGTAGGCTTTAAGTTCATATGTCACATCAGTTTTGTAAAAAAAAAAACAAGTAAAAAGCAAATTTGACAGACAGTAACAGTCATCGCTAATCTGTGACAGAATTAATAGAGACCACAGATAAAACGTTTGAGAGGCGTTGTTCCGTCGTCAATCGTGCGTTTAGAATTTCTCATCATTGTAGAATATTTCGAACGTTCCGTTCTTATTACTTCTGACAACCGTTAATTAATCGACGACAGCCAAGTAACTATCTATACTATTAATAGTAATTGTTTTAGAAAAAGAATCCTTAAAATTTATTAATGAATTTATTTCAAAGTACAATCGTCGGATTCGGATGTTGAAAATCCGTTCGTTTGTTTTGGAGTAACGTTTTTTTTTGTTTAAAAAGATGCTACTGCTCTTTTCCGTTTCATTTCCCTTTGTCGCCACTTTCGACACCCACGATATAAATATGGGTACTCTTGAATGCGAAATTTAGAAACGATTTTAACGTCAAGACACATCTCATGTTGACATTTATACGTGTGAATTGACGTGTTAGTGGCATTTTTGTGCCTACACGGGCTCCGCCCACTCCCCCGTTCTATTATGTATGTATTATAGTATTCTATGTGGGTACTGAACTTTCTCATACCGCCACTACACGACAATGATTTCTTTATTTTAATTTAAAAACCACATTTAATACTGGTGACCCATCCCGGCTCCGACGGGGTTGAATCTATTCATGTGACGTACCTAATTTAGGTTTAAGATATCATCAAAGATCATTTATGTTATTTATCGATTTCAACAAAATATCCCCAATTTATTCAGATAAATGTAGCCTAGTTCACTACTGGCATTACTCTCAATCTGGTTGTTAAGTTTCATCACAATTGTTCCAGCCATTCCGAAGATGAGCCCGGACCAAAAGATACACAAATAGACAAATAAAAAATTTAAAATGGTTATCCATGTGTTAATGACATGCAAATAATGCCTGGCATTAAAAAAGACATTTATTTTGGTATTACAGACAGATAGATTAAGATTTTAAAAGATTAAGATTTAAAAAGATTAAAAAGCGACTGTAGCCTAATGGCAGGGCGCGGACCCCGAACTCAAAAAGGTCGTGGGTTCGAATCCGCGATTCGACTACTGGCGTGAACCACTCGTAACACAAGCAATTTAAACTTACCACGAGTGGTTAAGGGGAATATTAGTAATGTTTATAGCATTGTTAATATTCTATTAAAAAAAATAGATCAATTTTATTTCAGTATTTAGAAAAGTTGGCACATGTATATGTAATTTTATGCATAGCGTAAGGGTGACAAACGAGCACACAGTCCATCTGATGGCAAATGGTGGCTGTGGCCCATAAACCTATCCTCGATTACGAATTTAAATGCAGATGCGCTGTCAACCATGAGGACTAAGATGGAATACCTCGTTTCCAATAAAAAGGGTCTCCGGTTCTCTACACTCACCGTACGAAACACAGCAGCGCTAAGCTGCTATTTTACGCTGGTATTCAGTGAGAGCGTGGTCCTTACCCGGTCGGACCGACCCATTCGTGCTACAACTATACCAAAAACCTAAATATTTGTATAACTCGAGATATCAACTTTTACGGCTTCGATTGCGTTTAATTTTATTATTTTTCTTCTTTAGATAGATTTTTTTTTATAGAATAGGCTGACAAACGAGCACACAGTCCACCTGGTGGTAAGTGGTTGCTGCGGCCCATAGACATCTACATCTATCTTCCATTACAAATCAAAATGCAGATGCGTTGTCACCCGTGAGGACTGAGATGGAATGCCTCATTTTCAGTAAAAAGGGTCTCCGGTTCTCTACACTCACCATACGAAATACAGCAGCATTAAGCTACTATTTGACGCTGGTATTCTGTGAGAGCGTGGTCCTTCCCCGGTCGAGCCGACCCATTCGTGCTACAACTATACTACTAATATAACTGCAGCATGGCTCTACCACGTAGATCCACGTACCACGTAGATGCGATAAAATCTGTTAACTTTAGTTTCATACATTATTCATGTTCACATAAACATAAGAAATTTGTATCATTACAGAAGTATACACGACTAGTGACGATATCAAGGTAAATGTACCATGTAGGTTCGGCCCGGCCTTACGTAAGAAACGTCTACGACTCGTCTGGTTGCCATAAATATGAACGCAATGGTATTATTAACGCGATCCATGTGTGCTATTATAGCGTAAGAAAAAACTGCTAATGTACCACTCGTGTTTTGCGTGAACAATAACAGACTAATGTAGTAATGTACATAAGTATAGTGGTATAGCAAGTTGGCAACTACACAATCTAAATTATCTAATATAATATGAATTACTTGTGAGATACATTGTATTTTCTTGCGATGGCCAAGTTAATCTATTTATTTAAAATATAAAATATTTTAAATATTGATATGGTCACTATAAGATGTTGTTAGGTTAGCTAAGTACGTAATAACTTAAAATAGAAGGACCCTTAAGTAGGGACTGAATAAATTAACCGACTTGGTATTACATGAATCTCACAACTTTTTACGGTAGAAGAACTGAGTTGCGAGTCTTGTTTTTTTTTACAAGTTATGTTTTTGATGGCATTATAATGTTACGAATAATTAGAACCATTTACAGGTTCTAAAAATTTAGATAATCTGCCTTGCCAAATGTAGGGATTGGTATAAAAAAATATTTTATACCAATCATTTTTTAAAATATTACAAGGACTTTTACCAATTTTAAATTTTAAAGATACTTATAAAACGGTCCCCCATTTCCGAAATATCTTAAAAAGGGGGGGGGGGGGATCTATTTCGACATTTGGCTCTTTTGCTCCCGGGCGACAACATTCCATGCTACTCCACTGCAACACAACTACATTGTTTATAGTTTATTCGCCTCAAATGAGACAACCGTTCTCCTAATCAGTAGGGGCAGCATGTATTCCTTTTCCATGCCTCCTTATTTTGAGTCATATCGTTATTTATACACTCTCTTCACCCACATTCATAGCACCACCCTTACTTTCACATTACCTCCTTTATTATCACCTGTATTATACACATACAAAATAACTTTGGAACGGTAAAATAAGAACAAACATAAGCATTTTATGATGCTTTGTGATATTTTATAATATCTTTCACATAACAGTCGAGACCAATTACAAAAACACTATTTGATAGTTAGATTATAGGCAAATGTAAAAAACAAAAACTTACTGTAAACGCTGGTGTCGTCTGTGGTGCCGTTGACGGTGCCATCGGGCAGCAGCTGGAGATAGCGGTTCTTGAGGAACATCTGTATTGTACGCGATGTGCCGGTTATGTGGCTGAGGTTCGCCGAACGCTGGGCGCGCGGCTCGGGGGCGGGAGCGGCGGCGCAAGAGGCGAGCGCCAGCGCCGCGACCAGCAGCCTCAGCGGGCGCGTTCGCGAACGCATGACGCGCCGCGCCCATGGCAGCCGCGCGGGCGCCGTCACTGCTCAGCACCACCCCGCATACCCTGCACTAACACCGGCTGGCTCGAGCCCCGCGGATTGGCGCCCAACGTGCCCCACACCGCATACCCTACACAATCCAATGCGACCACTAGGCTAGTTCACTCGGATTCGCACCCAACGTGCCTCAATCAGTCCGCTGCGTCGCGCACATTATACTAATGAATTTGGTTTCACGTTTCAAACTGTTGATGCTCTTGTTGATAGCTCACGCGATTCCGATTCTTCTTTGTGATCGCGATACGTCACGTAATTCATGTTAAAGGTATTGCACCATGCGGGCCGGATTTGCGACAGGGCGACGTATCTCGGTTTACTCCAAGCCGCAAACGTTCTGAGGTTTTGCGGGCGCAGGTCCACGGTCTGCAACAAAGAATTGGTTTCATGTTAATAATAGATATCGATACGTAAAATATTTAGATTTGAAAGCGTTACGTCTTTTTAAGGTAAATTGAATTTGTGCCTGATAATTAGGACACACATACAGTACTTCAATAACAAGCTTGTAGGTTAAAACAGTAATTAAAAAAACCCGAGTGCGTAATTTTTTTTACTGAAAAGATTGGAATTTTATAGCCTATGTCACTTTCACGACTAAATTCCAAAGTTATCCCATATGTTAAAAACCATCAACCCATTTAGGCTAAAGAACGTACCAAAGAAATTTATGTGGCTGTGGATGGAAAAGGGGAGATCTCCCTAGGATCTCCAAGGTGTTCTGCCCGGGCTCCATGTGATAGTTTTTTTTTTTGCGCCCGAAGCAAATATGGGCAACCCTCCGGAAAGCGGGGGGAGGGAGGTTGGGAATGCTCATAGCATACCACGCAGCCGGCTGCGTGGTTATGTGGTGACTTTTACCCACTAAACCCAACCTTTTTAGGAACTGGCTTAACGATCTGACTAGATATCTCTAAGCCGTATACGAACGCGACCCTCCTTGGCAGAAAGGAGGGCGTAGCGTGTGATAGTTCGGAGCTGTTCTATATATACTGTTTATGATTCGGAACTTCGATAGCGCGATTTAGGCTTCGGTGTGTTTCGCCACATTTACATACATAGGTACATACTTTCTAAAAGCATTAGGAATTAATTATTTGCAACATTCTTATACAAAGTAACATGAATTACTTCAGTCATATACCGACTGATAAACGTGGCAATAACTTGCATTGTAAAGATGTTTCTTAAGGCTTTTATTAAAGTGTGAAATGGCTACTTAACACTACTGATTTATTATGAAATTACCGTAAAATTGACTGTAAAAGCTAAGATTAAATATCTGAAAGACCTATATTAATTAGGTAATTGATAAGAAATAAAGAAAATGAGTACAAAAAAGGTGGTATCACGTTAAGAAAAACGATATTTTTAAATTAACTATTCCAATGTTGAGAAATTCCAAACGTAGCAAGTTGTTTCCACATGCACAAGAAACACCTTATTTCACTACACCTATCTCCTAATGAAGTAATCATTAGACTCTCGATCGTAATTTATCGTTTTGACTCTCAAATACCTATTATTTGAGACGTGAGAAAACATTAGTTAATTAATCAGCTATCCAGCTTCTCGCAGCTTCACATTCTTATATTGACCCGATTGTACCTGGGACTTCTCGATTTCTCACCAGATTCTTACTCGAAGGTTGTTATGTACCATTGTTTTTTTAGATATCTTGTCCGATAGAATTTAGGTATATAAAAAATAGAAAACTAATTTTTTTCATATTTTATAATAAAGATCTTAAGTGGCATTGCTAAGTAAATGAGTTAATTAAGAGTGAAAGTAAATTACTACATTAGCTGTAAAATACGTGTGAGTGTTCTTGTATATATTACACTACCTATTATTTAGGAATTTAAAAGAAAAGGCATTGTAAGTGCTTTTTTGAACTCGGATCACAGATCAGAGCACATGGAAAGAATCTAATTTAGGTATATTTATCACCCATACTCCTATAAAAAACCCTCACTAGATAATGTGACCACCTGGTAAAAAGTAAGTCAACGGATGCAGGTGGCTCAGGACTTTCGTGCCTTTCCTTGGGAGACGCCTATGTTCAGCAGTGGACTTGAGATGGGCTGTAATGCCGATGAATCATTATATTATGTCCTAAATTTAATAATTATTCCAGCAGCCAAATTGAATACAACTTTAAAATTCGAATTTTTGACAGTTATTACTAAAACATTAAATCTTCCATTTCCTTCACAGATTAATATGTACTCGTTCACGGCCACTTTCTAGTCCTTTTATAGCATAGTATGTGAGGGTAATATGGTCATCCGGTTAATATGGTCACTTTCTTATAACCACAAAATAAATAATAGTTCAAGGAATTATAACTCAAAAACTGCAGCCTTGTCTGCATAGATGGCTCCGTGATACGATAGCTCTTCATCGGTCAATCAAATAATAAAATGTCAAAAGGGCGCTGCTTTATCAATGCCATTTCGACAGTTGACATTATAGTAAATATTTTAGTCGATTTTAGTAGGGTGTGTAGTTAGTTTTTTTTTTTCAGTTGATTTTTCGAAGTGTTCCTAATTATTTCCATAGTTTGTTTGTTTTCGTTTTTCTTAATATCTTAGTTATAGCACCTATATGACTTTGTGATTTTATTTCTATCCTTCTCCTAGTTTATGTTTTATAGGGCGGCAAAGCTTAAGGTGATCATATTACCATCACGTACCTTAAGACCAGCTTATTATAGAACTATGAAAAGACATTTTATCAATGTTTTGTAAGGTCTGAAACAACAACTTATAATTAAAACGCCTCTGATCCGTTCATTGTGTATATTGCTGACCTGACGTGTATTTTTTTATATTATAATGTGCTTTACCTTTCTCTTGCTAGAAACACAACATTATTTCTGTCCTTGGTTTCTTTATCGTGGACTAATTAACCTTTGGCCACGTGCCAATGCTCAATTTGAAAGGTGAAGGTGCACGGTTTGTCCGGATAAGTACGAGACATTTTAATTTACTTAGCTGCTTAACGGAGTAAACGTGATACGAGACCAAAAAAGCGATTTTAGAAGTGTTCTAAAAATGATATATCATTAGTAATTAATTAAAAACATAAATGTATCGATATCTGATATGAAGTGAAAATATCTGCTGCCAACTGACTACTTGATTACGTTGATTTAGATCTTCTTGTTTGACACAACTAGAAGAGAAGAAAATAAGAGTAACAAATGAGCACACAGTCCACCTGATGGTAAGTCGATACTAAGGCCCATAAACATCTACATTTATCCTCGGTTAAAATTCGAAATGCAGATGCATTGTCACCCTGAGGACTAAGATGGAAAGCCTCGTTTCCAGTTAAAAGGATGTCCGGTTCTCTACACTCACCATAGAAAGCACAGCAGCATTAAGCTGCTAAGTATTTTACGCTGGCATTCTGTGAAAGTGTGTGAAAACGAATGGGTCGGCTCGACCGGAGTCCTACCCATTCGTGCTACAGCCATAATATTATAATAATAATTTATTATTGTATAACAATGAATTTACTTAATATATATACAACACGTAACATAATTAACGCACTTTGAGAAAGTATTCAAAGTAGAATCGTTTACTGAATCGATTCCTATCATTTTTAATATAGGTAATTTTTTATCCCAAAAATAATTAAAACTACGTAAATTACAGTCACACTAAATCTGTACAGTCAAAACAAACTGAAATGGACCGTAACTTAAGGCAATAAGACTTTTAAGAGTGTAGTTTAATTTGTATTATTACTAATTCTGTCATTCAATAAAAATAAAGAAAAATGAACTTTATTTCAAGCACGTTAAAGTCTTTGCGTTCGTGGATTTGTACTGTGACCACAACATTCTTTCGGAATTAGTATAACTAATTTGATAAATAATCAGTGCATAAAATTTTTTAACTAAAAATTCAGTGTATGTATTATGATTATAACATAATATACTAATGGGGATAAAACACTGCAGCTAAGCTTGTTATATAGCCGCAGCACGAATGGGTCGGCCAGACCAGCGTGAAATGGCAGAAAAATGCTGCTGTATTTCATACAGTGGGTAGATAACCGGAGATCCTTTTTACTGGATTCTAATCGAGAATACCAACTTTTCCCCCCCCCCACTTTACAAAAAAAAAAATTTTTTATTAACCACCCCTCTTTTTTTCGTATTTCCCATTATTTTTATCTACTATATTCTATCTAAGAAAACCCCCAAAAGATAAGTAATTTTTTTTTTAAAATAATGTATTAAAAAAAAAAAAAAAAAAAAAAACCCACCATAATATTTAAATTTATTTTTTTTTTATAATAAATTAATTTAAATAAATTTATTAAAAAAAAAAAAAAAAAATATTTTTTTTTTTTAATTTTTTTTTTTTTTTTATATAAAAAAAATAATTAATTTTTTTTCTTTAAACAAAAAACCCCCCCCCCTTTTTAAATTAAAATTAACACAAAATTCACCCCTTTTATTCTCTTTCCCCTTAATAGGAATAGTTTCCAGTCAAGTAAACCCGCAATGTTTACTTTGATGGTATGGTCATATTTTTTTCTTTCATGTAAAGGTGATTAAATAATATATAATCCAATCACTGCTGTAATCATTCTAAGTGAACTACGACCTGGTAGGAGATACAGGAAGTCGGTTAATGCAGGTGGCTAAGAACTTGTTTTTGTAACATTCCTTGAGGGAGGGCTTTTTTCCACAGCTGAATTGTGATGAACTGCAATGATGACGATGACAGTGATAAATCACGATACTTGATACGTGTGATACGTGAAGTGGATTCAAAATTTCCCTAATATATAAATTAAATTTCCTTAATGGTTGCGAGTAACAGTACTGTTACTGTTAAAATGAAGAATCTATCTATATCTATTTATATTATCATTAAACAGAAATTAAAAAGGTTTTTATAAGGCTAAACTTTATAACAAAAGTCCAATAAACATACATCCAATCTTTTCATACCAAAGATTTAAATAGTTAGATGTGCCTTCACCTTGAAAACTAGCTGGCATTATTACAACACGAGATACTTATAGCTGCCCCTTAATCGTAATTGTTTAACTTTTTACCTTCTGAAACATTATTATACA